TTTTATCTTAACCAAGTGGGCGCATACCAAGTGTCTTCTCTGTCACTGTCAGTTCGCCACCATATATGGAATAAGCTCTATGTATATTTTTTAGAAAAAAATCATGTAAATAAATGCAAATAATTAGATTCTCCACATTACAAAAATCCGAATAAACTTATAATAGTTAAATTTATATATTTTTATAATTTATGTTCTTAATTTGAATTATCTCTGTTAATTGTAGAGTAGAGTAAATAAAAGTTTAGAAAACCTTACAGTTACTTATTATATTAGTATAAAGATGTTTAAGCAAATTAATGCTACACTGTCTTAATTACTACATAAATACGTAATACATTAATCAATTAGAGGGGTATAAGTACATTTTTTTATAAAATTATTCCATTAAATTAATATAGATATAAGTGTGCCTAAAAAATTATCAAAGAATCCAAGGGTTAATAGCATCTTGAAAAGTCACAAGGTAAATGATACGTTCACCATAAGTATTTTATTATTGTTATTTTGCATTCACAATATTTTTATTTATCACAAAACAAAAATGATAGTGTAACTATTGTATTTTTTTTTTAATTTTATATTAATACAAACTTTTAATAAGTAAGAAACTAATAAAAGTAGAAAATCTAAAGCTTTTTTGAAAAACGAATCAACGTTGTACATACATACATACATACATACATAGATACATACTCTCTTCTCTAATAATGAATATTTATCGTGACGAAAAAAAATTTTTTGGCTGAGGATATTCAAAACTTCGTTGTTTTTGTATAAAAAGGAGGTCAAGTATAAACAAATTACTAACCCAATCAATTCAAGCAAAAAAACACTCTTCAGCAGTTGTCATAAATAATAATAGGTTATAATTATGTGGTTTATTTGGAGATTGTCTTAATGAATGTTTGAGTTTTACAGGTCTGATTTTAAAAGAAATATTTCTAGACTGGTAGTAATGTAAAGAAATAAATTAAATCAGTCTTTAGAGACCTAAAATAAAGTTTTAATTAATATACATTTATAATGTAAAATACCTATGGCCCATTGTAACATGTACATGTCCAAAAACTACTTCACTATTTATACAAAGAGTTTTACTGTTAGGTATATAGCGTAATAGTTGTCTATAGAATAAATCCACTTTACAGTCAGTTCGAAAAAATATAAAACAAACCTAATTTGGAAAACGTGCTTGTTGTCTCTGGTAATTCAAATTCTTCAGGATCACTTGTGCTAACTTGCTGGTACATGATTAGTAATTACAAGTGAATTATTGAAAATGACACTTTAATGGAGTAGGATATGTTACTGTATATCGCAAATCTTGATAAAAGTTATGTTAAATAATTTTCTGTTATCATTATTTGTTTTATATTATCTGAAAACTTTTCTCTTTGCGGTTAATTTTTTGTATAAATTTGTACATACAGAGGTATCTCAAATTATGTACTTACTCATAAGTTGAACGCAAATTAAAAAATACATTATTATTACAAATGGACCATTGCAAACATTGCTACATATGATAAAATAAGATTATTTTCTATACTCCAACAAAATTGAGTTTGCTATTTTGCTAGGAACTTTATACAAAAAACATAAAGTATGAAAATCATTTTTCTGTTCAAGTTTAAGCTCGCCCTACACGGGCTGTATTTCTTGTGTGGCTTAAAATTATAGTAATATTATTCCCATTATACGTTTACTCTTATCAATATCAAAAGATTTCTTTTTTATCTTTATTTTCGAGACTTTTCATTATCTAAAAAAATCTTGTCTTGATGCCAAGGGTTTAAAATTCTTAAGCATATTTTCTTAAAATCAGTATCACCCATTTTTTAAACCATTAATTTAAGTTTGTTGAAAAATGATCATTACTGCATTAAATAGTTTTTTCAAAAAAAAAAAAACAAATAAAAAAAGTTGAAATTGTTTTATCAAAATCAAAGCAAAACTATATCAAACAACAGAAAAAGTTTTGATTAAAAACACTATCTAAACGATAGAATAACAAAAACTTTTGTTTGGCACTATATTTAGACGATTCCACATGCTATTCTTATTTCCAAAAAAGTTCAAAGTTTTAAGAAAAATGTATCATGACAACACAAAACCAATAAAAAAATAATATTAGATTTGATAAAAACGTTGTTATTTTTAATATGAAAAACGGTTCAGCTTTCGACATATGCACAGAAGCTAATGTGGAAAACTATTTTAGTTCGACAGGTAAATTTGGACCAGGCTATACACATAAACACGATTAAATAATTAATAATGATAAATATCCATATGGAAATATTTATATTATCTATAAGTATTGAAAATCTACAAGTGTACAATAATTTCCTTTTTATCCCACTTATGTATGATATGAGATCACACATAAATGAATCATATGTACATACTACATTTACCAAAAAATCGTTACACGATCAACGAAATTTTAACATTTCATATCCAAAAAATCTTCGAAAACTCCAAATACTGTTTTAACAGATGATATAGGTATAGAAATCAAAATAATTAAACCTCAAAATCACCCTTTAGTATCTTTATTTTCCACTATCATTTTCATGTGAAATTGTTTTAGTAGCAAAAGTAACAAATGCCAATAAAACGTCTAATTTTGATGACAAAAACTTAATAATAAAGCAGTCTCAGAGGAAGTTGTCACACAATGAAAAGTTGCATCATATTTTAATAGATCAGCAGTCACCTGGACGATAGATTAGTGATGGGCACAATTGAATGAATCTTAACGAATAATTCGATAGTGGTCCGTCATTCGAATTATTCGATAGTAGAAAATTCATTCATTCATTAAAAATCAATCGTTAAGAAGAAATGAATAAGAGCGCATTACCGAATTATCAAATAAAATCATTTGTTTCTTTCTCACGTACAGTGAGTTAATGTGTTTATCTCACTCTAATAATTCATTCAATAGTACATACATACTGAAATTTTGACAAGCGCATGCGCCTATGACAAATTTATTCCATTATAATCATGTATTTATGAAATAAAAAATAACAAACATTAAAAACAAATTATAAAACTTTTAAACTTAAACATTATACAATAGTTTAAAAAAAATAACACAAAAAATAAAAAAAAATTCTAAATATTGATGTGAACTAAACAGAAAAAGGACGAAAAAAATTAAATAAAACCTAATGTATTAATTTAAAATTGCTATTTAAAAAAACAATACGGTCTAAATTTTTCCCACACAATTTATTTCTCCTTTCAGTCATTAATTGCAGTAGAGTCTAAAATGTTACTTCTGGACCAGGACATTTGGCGTCTTAAAAAACAAGGCAGAATCTTACAAATTTAGCTGTTTTCCCAAAAGTCAATAACCAAAAAAGGCTTAAAACCTCTCAAAAAGTATTAATTTTTATCCACCCCAAAAGTACCTACTCGAATATGTGTAGACCACCAAAAATTGGGCACGCGGAAAAACAGGGTAGAGCCCTACAAATTTAGTGTTTTTCCAATAGTAAACATGCGAAAAAGGTCTAAAAAACTTACAAAATGCCTTGTTTTTAAGCACCCCAAAATGGCTTTTTATTTCTGGACCAGGACATTTGGCGACTTCAAAAAACAAGGCAGGGCCCTAAAAATTTAGCTGTTTTTCCAAAAGTCAACAACCGAAAAAGACCTAAATCCTTATAAAAGCATCAATTTTTACGCACTGCAAAAGTACCAAATATCTGTAGACCACGAAAAATTGGGTAAAAGAAAAAAACTGTTGAAATCTCCCAAAATAAAGCAAAATTACTACAAGAACGCCCTTAAAAACTAACAAAATACCTTGTTTTTAATCACTTCAAAATGGCTTTATATTTCTGGACCAAGCCATTTGGCGCATGCAAAAGAACAACACCAAATCAAAGAGGTATATTTGGCACCTTACAAAACAAGGCAGAATCCGAAAAAAATTATATGTTTTCCCTAAAGTAAACAACCGAAAAAGACATGAATCCTTCAAAAATCATAATTTTTTATGTGCCCAAAAATACTCGAAAATCAATAGGCCAACAAAAAATGAGCACCTGGGAAAACTGCTGAAAATCTTCCAAAATCAAACATAATTAGGTAAAAACCTTCAGCATTCCTTGTTTTTAGACACCCCGAAATGGATTTTTGTATTTCTGGGCCAGGGCATTTGGGCACTTCAAAAAAAAATCCAATGAAAATTGAGGAAATTTGTCCCAAAAAGTTATTAAAATTATTGAAAAAGAGGTCAGAGTTCCTCATTTTTAGATACCTCAAAATGGCTTTTCAATGATGGACCAGGATAATAAATGGTAAAATAAAAAAATATATCAACAGTCTTGTCTTGAATATTTCACCGGTTCCAGATGAAACCTCTGCAAAAGCAGAAAATCCAATATCTACCATTACTTTTCAAGACAAAATATTAGTGCTAGACCATCAATTAAGCACTTTAAAAACCTAGTAAAACCTAAAAAAGGCAATGAAACGAGTAAAAACACAAAAGTCTTATTCAAATCCCTCGGTTTTCAACACCCCAAAGTTAATAAAAAAAGTGCAAAACATTCCCCGTTTGGGGAACTTGGTGAACAAACGTATTTTGGTAACAATTGGAATTGCATTTGGGAATCTAATCAGAATTTTATTATAAACACTATAAACTAATACATTACCAGAATAAAAAATTGAGTACTTATAACACCTGTTTCATTTTTTTAACATAACAAGAAATTATAATAATGTATCACCACAGACAGATTTACTTCTTCCTTTAGTTCCAACTTGATATGTTATAAAAACTTTCTTCGCCTTTGTATTGAATGCCAAATCAGCCTAAATCTTTTTTGAAATGTGTTTATAGTCAGGTTCATCAAATTTAGTATAATATTGAATCTCAAAAATATGTTGTAAAGCTTCATTTGACTTGGAATTCATTTTGTATTCAAAAATGATTCCAAACTTCTTACTGATTATCACCACATCTAGGGTATTGGCTATCCCTGGTCCCTTTCTTTTTTCTTGACCTGGACCTCACTGTGTGTTACGAAGTATCTGGAGTTATATGCCAGAGTATACAAGATGTGATGAAGTTCTTTTTCGTTTATGATCCTCTGTGGTTCAGAAACTAATACTAACACGGCGTTTGCAAGATCACTTAAACAATTTGTAATGGATGTAGCTTTCAAGTTGAAGTTACATACTATTGTCAGTGCTTCACTATAGCAAACGTTGCGGATATATTGCTTAATTTCAAAATTAGGTATTTTTAAAATACAATATGTCGAGTTCTTTTCAAAATCAGCGTCTTCTTCTATATGTTTATCTTCGGTGTTTGTTTCAATTTCATCTTTTTTCTTATCAATTGACAATATATTAAAGTAACCACAATCAGCCAAGAATTGCAAAAATAAGTCCACAATTTCCTTCGATATTTCATCAAACTCTAAAGAAGTCAGTTGCTGTAAACGCTAAAGATGCTGGACATCCACTGATGTAACTGTTGTTATTTTTATTTCACCACCAAAAATAAGTTCCTCAATGTTCTGTCGAATTAAAGGTTCTGCAAACAGTTCCTTCAGGTTTATTATATGACTTGTATTAATCCAGAAAGATGAATATTTGAGCGTACCGGTTGAAAAAACCATTTCCAAAAGGTTTAAGACTGACCAGTTACTGAATATTTTCAATGGGCTATTAGACACCATACATCCCTCATACCATTTCGTAATTATTTTGAATGTTACTTTCCCACAAGCAGCTTTAATTTCTGGAAGCTCAAGTAGCTGCTTTACCTCGTCATCCGTAAATCCTAAGTACGGTGCGTATCGAACATCACTTAGGAATGGATAATGTTCTATAACTCTTCCTGCATCCCCTGAGTAAGCTCTGGCCAACCGAACACAAGCAAATATTAATGAGCGTTCTATGGAGTCATTGAATTTCAGCGTGTTAGCCATGAAACGTTTTAGACAATCATCAATTAATTTAATGTCATCCTTATTCGAACAAATCTCAAATACTAGACCCATCGCAGGAGCATCGTATTCATCGATGAGTAGGAAAACCTTTTCCTCATAATGTGTATGTAAAACTTTCGATAAAAATTTTAAGCTAGTTTCCAAATGAACTTCACTTAACATGAGGCACTTTTCATAATAGTAATATTTTTCAAACGTTTTTATATTTATGCTAGAAATGCTTAACTTCTCACTTGCCCAGATTAATGTACCATCCTCAGTCTTCTTCACCAGGTATCGGTGTTCTTGGAATGCACAATTTATAGCCGATGCCATACTGCTCTTAACTCCAGCAAAACTGCTACCACAAACACTCCCGAGATCAATATGTATCACAGGATGAGATTTGCAGTGCTTTGAAAAAAATCGTTTTTCCTCGGTAAAAATCTTTAGGTTCTTAAATAAATCGGTTTTTCCTAGTAGGAACTGCTTCAACATATTCATGAGGGTAGTTTTTCCAAAAGCTCTAGGCGCTGTTAGTAATACTATTTTACAAGTATCACTTAAGAAACATTTGATAAACAGGGTCTTGTCCACAAACGTAATTGTCTCTTTGATTTGGGCAAAATCATGACTTGACAGTTCGCACAGCGACTTTTCTGAATCCAAAAAACAGAAAAAGTTATAAATAAAGTGATTAGGATTATTTTTGTGGTTTTTAAATTGAAAGTTTCTGAAAATTATACAGGTGTTCCATTTTTATTCTTACAAATTTAACCAGATGACATATATCGAAATATTTTATATAAGGCAGCCACATTGAAACCATAGTGGATAAAATTACAAAATTTGGTACAACTGATAACCTTTATAAACCCAAATGAATTCGAAGATAAAATGTCAAATTTTTACTCAGGGGCGTCCTAAACTGGGGAGTTTAGGGTAAAAAGTACCCTAACTATTTTGGCGGTTGGTTTTTGCCACTTTCAGCCACAAAATTCTAAATTTCATAGTTTTTCACAAAAAAGAGGTCTCTTTCGTTTCTTCAATAAAACTTACCGTTTTTGAGTAAAATCAGTTAATAATTTGTCTTACAAACCATAAAAAGGATAAAAATTAAAAATTAAATTTGTTTCACCGTTTAAGAGACTTGTGATTAAAAATTTCGACAACTGATCTTTAAATTCGTTCAGGTGTTTAAAAGTAATCAGCTCTACCAACTCTTGTAATTTTATCTATTCTGCAATATTGGGAAAACCCCATTAAAAACGCATCTCTTACAGAGGGTGTAGTTTGCTTACGTAAGATTTTTTGATACATGTTCATAGGAAACTTTTGTCTTAAAATTGAATATTCTATCACCTGTTTAAGTTTATAACAATCAAAACGGAACAGCCCTGTATATGTACTTATTATTACTAATAATAAATTATTGCCACCGTTAATTTCTAATACAGGAGAGTTTTACTAATGATTGTAAATTCCACCAATAAACCTGACTTAACAAATATATTTCTTACCCTCACCTTAGAATCGTTTAGAGAAGAACTCTCATTCATTTTTACTTTGGTTCGGCTACAATCTGTAATACAAATAAACATAAATAATTAAGTCTTTTGTCAATGAGAACAGTATACAAAACAAAAGTGTAGAAAAACCTCGTCAACAGCAGCCTATTAAAGTGTTGTATTTTGTACCGAAATAAACAACTGTATTATTGTAAAGTGGAATTCCTAAAAGATAATGAAACCAAAAGGAACAAATAAGGTCATTGCGTATAGGTCTTTTACTCGCCAATTAAATTGCACAGATGGAAAGACATCGCGCAGACCACTAGAAACAAACTGGTTAATAATAATCATGAAGTAAAACCAATTACTATTGCCAATTTTTAATTCAACAAGATTAAGTTAAGTTTAGAATTTTTTCAAATTTGCTGGTGAATTTTCATTTTGAAAACCTCGATGAACTTATAAATTGTGCATATATAAATATTTAGCTCAAAAAGTAATTTTTTTATCACATTTAAATACTTATTTGAAACACGATTTGTTTAATGGCTATTTTTTACATTACATACAACAATAAGGTTTTATATTAATTTAAACAATAAACCATATATTTGTTTATTATAACGCGAGTAGTATGAAATAAACTGCACAATAATTCTTTTTTTCTTCTCTATCAACATTTTTTAAATTACAGACTAGAGAACTACAATACTAGAGAAAACAAAACAGTGGCAGATTATTACACACCATTAAAAACAAGACAACCATCTGAACTGCAGCAATTTGTATTTTTGCCAAAACAAAATAATAATAATAATACTTTATCGACGGGAAACCCCTTTTACGTAAAATAAATAACAATAATTCTAATAATATACCTACTGATATAATAATAATAATGAGAAAAAAAAGAAAGAAAAAAAAAGTATATAATAAACAAACACATAAACATGGTGATTTTTAAAACTGAATCAAAGTGAATCAAGAAAACATTTTTAGTTTTAATAAATAAGATTATTCCATAATGTTGCCGCTGACTGTGTATTATGTATAACAGTACCAGTATAACATATTAAAAAATAGGTTTTCATTTACTAAAATTGATTAGCAGTTAAAAGTCTTTACATTCTAATTTAATTTCTATTTCCTGATACTTGAAATAGTAAATTGATATAATTTTTCTCAGGGAAAAACAAATCAAACTTTCGTAATATGGGACTTGAAAAACGTAATTGTACATACTGCCTGAAAACATAAATAAAAGCGACCTACTTTTGTCACTTTTCTAAATAGGCAAGTGCCAAAAAACATTTTCAAAATTTGAAGCAATTTTTTTTAATACCTTCAACAAATTTTTAAACTGCTTTCAAGTATTCAACATACCAAAAAATATAAACTACATCCTCTTTCGTCTAAAAGAGGGAAAAAAACCTATAAATCTGTCGGATAGCGTAATCAGACGGAAGTATGTGTTTTAATCACTTTCTACCTAGATAAATATTTGGTAATCAATCGATAATTAAACAAAGACTATACTTTTAATTCCAGTTTATTAAAACAAATTTTTAAACTTCGTTAGCTTACGGACTGGTTGGCGAATTTGGAATTAGAGGTAACTGTTCTTGATTGGCAAAATTCACAGAACTGTCTGCTTCTAACTGCACAAACTTATAGTGCGAAGCCATTTCAATAAATACCATCATATCAGCCACCATTACTACAGCAAAAAGAAAAAATTCTTGCGCCTGTAACGAAAAATAAATTTATTTCTTTTTTTTAATTAATCCTTTTAATGTTTACCTGACTTTTAAACAAATTTGCTTGTGTGATTAATATCACTAGAAAATTTCCTACAGCTACTGATAAATACCATCCGGCTATAGTAACAGTTTTCATACTTTTCGGAGCCTAAAACACTACTTTAAATTTGATCAAAAAAATGGGATAAATACTTGAGTAAAGGAAAATTCTAAACCGGAAACTCCAAACAAAATTTCCGCTACTGAAATAAGAAAATACTGTGGTAGCAACCACAATATGTTGATGGTGTTTGGTGCCGACATAATGTACAATTTAAAAAACTGAAACGGTAGTTTATTAAGAGTATAAATGTATCATAGAACATAGCCTACCTCAATTTTCATATTTCTTTCTCTTATTACAAGAGAATAAACCCCTCCTAAGTCTAAAGTAAAACTTTCCGCATGAAGTATAGGAATTTCTTTAGATGCAACGACGCAATCATAACTAAAAGAATTGATACGAATCGACGTTTCTTTTTACAACTTTTTACTTACATTCCTTGGGGCAACTCCATATAAGCAGAATCTGCCAAAAAAGAAGAATTGGAGCTATGGACAAAGTAAACATCCTTCAGACCTGCTTGATTTCGCAACGAAACCGTTATGTCATGTAAAAGTATAGAACTTTTGATATACGCAACTCTGAAATAACATTTTTGTTAAAATTGTAATTAAGTCAAACTCGAGGAAAAACCTTATTCTTGGTTTGCCACTGAGCGACTTTTGGTAATCAACTGGATCAGTAATAAATGACTTAATCTTATTGTCGACGTTTATTCCAATAAGAACTGTATCCGTCTTGTAAAAAAATCATTTTATTATCTACTGAGAGGTTATGAATGTTTGAGTTAGCAACAAAAATCAAAATTGAGAGTCACTTGCACATTGCAATCGGATATACTTATAGTTTAGCTTGACAGATATGTAGGGGAGAGGCGGGCAAAATGGGGTACTTAATGTTTGAAGTCGAATTTTAAAAAAACTTAAAACTATGAGAGTCTGTAAATGAGGCAATATTATTGTTACAGTATTAATTATTTATTACTAACATTTTAACTTATAAAAAACAAAACATTTATTTTATATTGAATAAAAAAAATAGTAATGCAATTTGCCCCATTATGCCCGTCGCATAGGGCAAAATGGGGTAATATGTC